CTGGCGCGCTGTTGTTAACTCGGCTATAATCGCGTAAGCGGTGTCTACGCCAATCAAGAAGAAGAAGAATTCAGACTCGTGGCCAAATGTTTTGGCAAGTCGACATTCAGATGCATTTTTTAAAAACAACTTCCGAATGAAGCGCAATTCTTTAATTAAATTTTGTATTATGTTGAAAGATTTATAGAAGAAAAAACACTAACTACCGCAAAGCAATTCAATTAGAGAAACGCATTGCCATTGCTTTATATGCTCTTGGCTCTTCTGCAGAATACCGATCAATTGGAAATATGTTCGAAATTAGTAAAAGCACTGTCTTCTCCATTCTAATTGATTTCTGTCATGAAGTCTTTCGTTGCTTGTGGCTTTTGTATTTGAAGAAATTCCCAATGAACGAAATTCAATTGCGCGAGTATTTAAATGGCTTTGAGTCATTGGGTTTCCCTMRARTGTTAGGAGCTATAGGTAATTAGTTAAATTTTTTACATTGGAGTTTTTATATATATGTTTAATTTTCAGATGGTTGTCATATAGAAGTTCGCCCAGCTGCAGAGGATGCTGTTGACTACTACAATTACAAAGGCTGGTATTCCACAGTTCTTTTGGCTTTAGTAGATGCAAGGTAAGTTTTTTCATGAAGCTCATTTAAACACCTAATGTATTTCCTTAATGTTATAGATGTCGCTTTATATACATCAACGTTGGTAGTCCAGGCCGTTGTAATGACTCTTCAATATTTGAGAGATCATCATTAAAAAGCGAGTTTGCACGATCTACTATATTTAAAGATATGAGTAGAAAAAAAACGTCAGTTAATGTTCCAGTCGTTTTGTTAGGAGACTCTGCGTTCAAATTTGATGAAACCATACCCATTTTGTGTAAACCAACCTTTGGATAAAAAAAAAATTCAACTATGTACTCTCGACATGCCGAAGAGTGGTGGAGAATGCTTTCGGTCATTTAAAGGGAAGGTTTAGACGGGTTGGCAAAGGCTTGGATAAGTACATGGCCAACAGGAAAATTGTCATAAAAGCGTTCTGCGTTTTGCACAATTTTTTAAATGAGGAAAATGGTGAAATTAATGAAAAGTGGATTGCAGCACAACACATCGAAAACGAATCTCGAAGTTGCCAGAAGACGTATCTAACATTTGTGGAAATGTCAACCCAAGAGCAGAGGAAATAAGATTAGCGTTCGTTTCGCATTTCGGTGAGTTATTACATTCGACTTTGAAATATTATTAAATCTCAACCGATCCATACTTACATATCTCATAACTCAATTCCAGTACAAAAAAAACAGTTATTTTTATATTTTATATATGTTATATATATATTTTCGTATTCATTCACATATTTTTATTTATTTTTCCATTTTGTATTCATTTATTCATTTATATATACATATATTTTATATATTATATATATATTTTCATTTTGTTTAACATATGTATTTAAATTCATTTTCCATTCAACATTTGTCTTATATGTACAAGTATCTTAAACTAAAACTAAAAAAACAATTTTTAAATCTAATTTTGGCGACGAATCGTTTTGAATCGTTAATGTATTCTTGTAGGAGAGAAATGCGCTTTTCATCGGCTTCCTTCATCGTCTCAGTCGCCTTTAGTAAGTCGTTCTTAATTTCCTCCATTATTGTTTTTGATTTTTTCCGATGGTCGAGCGCAACCATGCGACGTAGAAGGTCCATCGTTTGGGCTTGGGAGCGGCGACTCTCTTTCTACATCGGCCTCAATGTAAATTGGATAGTGTATTTTATTTTATTATGAATATTGAAACCTACTCCAATGCGCTTAAAACTTGCCATCAATACTATCCTCCACAAGTTCGGCGGAACAAAAACTTTTAAAATCGTCTAGCGCTTGGTGGACCGCCTCATAATATTTCCACCGACTAGGGCAGCCACCCGATGGGCCAATTTTCTGCTTTTTTTGTCTAAAAATAAAAAAAATATCTGATGTTATATTTTTACCTCATAATTTATTACTTACCTGTATTTGTTTGTAAAATTGTGCAATTTAATTTTGATTTCAGTGGACGTGTATTCGTGTCCAGGCAAAAGCATTGTAGCAGACATTTCCTCATATATATGATTATTTTTTCGCGTTGATCGCGTCTATTAGGTCGGCCTCGGCAGTCTCACTCCACATCACTCTTTTCTTTTTTCAAGTTTTTCCCATATTTTATTTACTTTTTAGTAAACAACGTCGATTTGTGGTTTTATTTTTGTATATTCTTTGTCTGTTAGCTTTAAATTCTGACACTTTATAGTGTCAAAATCAGCTGCGATTAAACAAATTTGACCAACAGATGACGCAAAGTCACAGTCGCACAGACAGATTTAGTGTGGATCTATTACAAATCATTCTGATGGAGTAATTTTGAACTGTCATTTTTGCATGGCGAAATCTTGATAAATTTTTAAGATTAGTGGGATAATCCATTCAACAGCCAAAATCGTGTGATTAAGTGTCGGCCTGAACATAGTATAAATGTCATTATATATATTGAATGTGTGACCGTGGGTTAAGGTAAAATATGTTTTACACCATTGAAAGAAATCTGGCACTGCAGCGAACGCATGAGTTAGCACCTAAGTATACTGTGGTTAGCACTGATCAACCTGTGAATATTGTTTCATTTTCATCTATTCCGAAACTAAATATTAATTGGGAGTTAATAAATAGCATGAAATAAAATGGCAGAAATAGAGGTTTTAAAAAGATATAATAATGCAATGGTGGTGTTCTTTTGAAAATATAATTGTTGTTATTTACAGTTGTCTAAAGCGTTGCGTGACTTACCAAATCGAGTTCTGTCAGCTAAGTGTGATGAGAGAAAAGATTTGTTTCAAAGCGTGACATCTGTGCTAAATAATCCTGGTATAAAACAATAGCATGTTAATTTCGAAATCATTAAAACATTATATTTTAGGTGTTAATGCGTCTATTGTGAAAGGCTTATGTAAAGTAATTGGAACGACGTTGACAAAATACAAGGATACACCTTCTCAAATTCTTGTCAGAAATTTAATTGTGGATATCGTAAAACAGCATCATGACGTGGCTACTGAAAGTCTTAGCTCTGTAGTTAGAACCATCTTAAACAAAGAAATTTTAATTTTGTCCCCTCAAAGGTCTGCAAAGTATTCACTTATTGCTTTAGGATGGACTGATTTAATTATAAGAAATGGAGATTATAATTCGAACATATTTAAAACGGAATATTCTAAGTTGGTAGAATGCCAAAGTATATTGTATTATAATATATATCTTTCCTATAATATGCGCATAATTGATATGGCTGAGAAATTACTATTTGATTCGTGGATAAATTCAGAGAATTACATACTTTGCTCGTCTACAATTATATTAAAGGAACCCGCATTTAACATTATCAACTTTTTAATGTTACTTTTACGATTTGAACATTTCAAAGGACATGAAGAATATATACTAAACAGGCACAAATCGGAACTACTTCAGCACTTTATTAAAAGTATTATTATTAATAAAACAAGGCCACAATCTGCAATTGTAATGGCTTGTGAGCCATTGTTAACAATAATTACACAAAAGGATTTTGAAGAACTGATACATCCGGTATTACTTAAATCCATATTAAGGAGTCCGGAAATGGCAATACGTGTGATGGGATTAATTTTTCACAAATTAAATATAGATTTAAGTGAATATGCCTCATCATTAGGAAAGGTGCTGCTACATCATTTATATTGTAAGGATGACATAGTGAGAGGGGAATCTTTAGAAACGCTGAAGGAATTATCGCTTAAGTGCACCACTATCGATTCGGTTGAATATTTACTGAAAGGAATTTTCGACACTCTTAATGGACGCAATGGTAAAATAACAGTAGCGGAGTACAGAATACATCTGATTCAGGTATTTTCTATTATACTTATGTATATAACTTTTAAATTTTACTACCTTTAAAATTCATTTTAAAATTACCTACCTACAGTTTATTATCATAAAAATGCAACATAATTTTTGCTGTTTTTTTTTTGTTTTTTTTTGTTTTTGTACCTTTGTAAAACATTCCTGAAAAAGATAAATATAATTTAACGCTTCTAAGTTGTTGCCAGAGAACTTCCACAGGAGTTCTCTCTCCTGGATGTTTTTAAGCCTCTCTTTAAGCTGGCACCACTTATATCGCTCTTGCGTGGGTTATCTTGCCCTTCAAAAGAAACAGATGGTATTAGTGGGGCTATCTCTTTTCCTTGCTATAAACCTTTTATGACTCACAAGAAACCTAACAGCTAAGACTGCCGATCGTCATCGAATTTGGCATTCACCTCAAACAGCGCATGATTCTCTTACGATAAAGTTGGGTCGGTATTTACCGTATTTATCTTCTGGCGGCAATTTATCTTTTGGGCCCCTCATACTACACCACATATCGATAAGGTGTCTGCCATCTTGAATTAATTGCAAGGAATGGTGTCAGTCCTTGGACTTTGAATTATTTATTAGACTAGATTAAAATTGATAAATTAGATTAAATTGATAAATGAGGAATGCACCGCGACCTTGGGTCTATTGTGCCCTCTTCTAAATCACAAGGACTTAGGCCAAACTATTGAATAAGTCCAATATCCTAGCGGGTTGTAGTGAAACAAAGTGATCCCTATACGGAAACATGGATCCAAGGGCCTTAAACCTGCGTCTCAAACTGCTATGCAGGTGTTCCGGTGTTTCAGGCTCCCGATCGCAGAACCGGCAGTCAGCTTAAGAGGTAGGCCCATGTTAAATAAATGGCTATTCAGCTTGCAGGGCCCTGTGTAAAATGCGACCAGTACCTGAGTTTATAGCTAGGAAGGTTAATTACAGACTTAAACATGCTCTCGTTGTACCCCCCAATTAGCAACTTGGCATGCCTTTACCAGCATCCGCATATCTGCGCCGCCCCTTCTCCACCTGGATGCGAGCCGGTGCTGATGGTTGGCTTCCGGCTATCCTTGTGCTGCCGCCTTATTCTTTTGGAGCTGGGGGGCCGCTGCGGCGTGATCTCCCCCTCCTCCGCTTCGCGGTTTGTGCATAGGTGGCCAAGGGCGCTGGCCTTCCGTCACCTCGCATTGCGATCAGTGTTGCACTGACCGGGCCACGGTTACTTGCCCTCCTTTSYAGGCAAAGCAATGTTCCCTCTGTTCCTGCCTTTGGCCAGAGCTTTCGCCACCTGGTGGGTCCCGGASGTGCCGCAGGTACCACTTCAGGCTGGYACCGCTCATGCCCTGCCGGGAGAGCAGGTTGCCGTTGCCCTCCATTCGCAGAGGTTGAATTATTTATAATTTTATATGTTGACGTATGTTATAACAAAGCGATCGCATGTGTGAGTTGAATCCAGTGTTTCAGGGAACCATTATCCTTAGTTGTGGTGAAAWATCAGAACGCGTAGTGCAAAATTAGGCACGATTCCGATTACTTTGGCGGTCGGGTAAAAACCACGAATTTCGGTATAAATGGGGTATGTACGTATAGGGAAGCTTATCCAGAGGAGGAATATGCAAAAATAAAGTTACCAACACTTATATTTTTTAAAACATTCCCGATTAAAAATTCAAAAAATTGTATTAATAACATTTAGTATTTCACAATGTTTCACTAAATTTTTTCACATTTTTCACTTGGTATATTTAAATATACACTCTAAACATTAAAATAAGTTCATATTCCACTTTTATTTTGTTATATTTTAGCTAAATTTCTGAATTTAAAAATCACTCACCGTTGAAAAGGTTAGATATTTTACAATTATSACAGGCGCTGCCACATCTTAAACACCACATATGTATGTAGGATTTTTTACGATTTTTCTTTCTTTGTATTTCGCCTGATTCTTGGTTGGTGTCCTTTCTCTACTCTTGTTTAACTCCCTACTGGATTTTAATTTCACAGATCTCTATGTTTTTGAACTTGCGACTGTCAACAATCCTAAAATTTGAGTTTTACTATGGACAGCCAGACAGTCCGATAAAAAGAAATGTCTACGACATTGCTTGAGAGCTGCGCCGCACTCGTAATTATTTTCTGTTTGTCACTTACCAACATATTATATATTATTAATATTRATTTAAAGCACGTCATCTGAAGAAACTTTTGTAGAACTCAGGCTAACTAATAGTTTTTGTGTAAAGAAATTTTTTCACTTCTAATCATCATTGAATTCCAATACCTGCAATTTGAAAAGAATATATTCTAAAACAATTGCGTTCTATAGAAAAGGTAATAAAAGGGCACGTTTGGGAATCCGAGTGAAAGTGACAATTAAAATTAATACATAAATCGTGTGAATTTGGTTTTGGTGTTCTGAAATGGAACGATTGTTATGAAAAATTAGCTCAAATAGCCTAACCGGTTTCCCAAACTTTTTTTCTTATGACAGCCTTTCAATCCATCGATATCCATGATAAAAAATTAGCTTAAGAAGATTTCTTTAGAATAACCAAATTACTGTTTTTTCAGCCCGAAATATATTTTTCAGTTAGTTAGTTTATTCACCAAACGTTTGTATTACGTATTACCTAATTATATTATATGTATTATATACAGCGGTCAAAAAAAGTATTCGACATGTAACGACTTCTCCTAATAATGATTTACGAAAACAATATTATCAACAAAAACAAAAAACTTTTGAATAATCTGGTACAAATGTGATTTCATTTTCTATTGTGGAAATTATTGTAACTATTATTATTATTTATTATTAATATTTAATATTTAATATTAATAATAATATCATCACCCAAAAGCCAGCAGCCACGTTCACCGCCTTTGTAGAGCTCTGCTCACACTCCATATTAAAGCGTCATGGCCAGGGCGGCTGGCATCTATTGCTCTTATTGTCATATTGTAGTCACAAATCTAAAAGAAAATTTAAAAAAATAGGTATGCCGAAGTTTTGTAAAAAATGTTGTTTTGATGCGGCTATTTCGGCCTCCGTCATTTTAAGTTTAATCCATTGTGGACAAATGTATTTTTCTAAAACATTAAGCAGCCGCTTAAGAACTTTCGCAATTGTACTGCGACCCATTGCAACAACAAAATCCTTCCCTACTGATTTTTGGAAGCCACCTTCGGCTAAAAATCTTAGTGTGGCCGCCAACTGCAGTCGTGCCGGGATGCTACTTTCCTTGACGCTTACCATTTCAAAAGCACTTTTGCTTACCCGGTAGCTTGCTCCAAACCTTCAAAAGAGATTTTTTGCATGCGCTCTTTAATAATTTTTAAATGTTACATTCTTACTTGAAATCCGGCACCTCTAATGGATTTGAATGGTCACGTAAAATCCTCCTGCTAACAGCTTCCTCTGCATGTAATTCCCTTTATTTCTATAATAATTGAGGAAAATATAACAAAAGCACTCATTTTTATTTCGCCACGTTTTAATTTTTCTTGTTGACAAATAATTTGACAGCTATGAAGTTCATTTTTACATTTGACAGATGTAAAGTTCATTTATAGGGTGAATACAAAACAAGTTCTAAAATGAAAGAAAACTCSGATTTCAGAACACCAAAAGCAAATTCACTCGTTTCTGCATTCATTTTGATTTCCACTTCCACTCGGATTCCAGAACTAGCCTGATTATGACAGAAAATAGCAAAAACGAAGAGGGCAACAAACACATGCGGAGTTGTAGGAAATAAAAATTTTCATTAGCTCTGCTCTACTACCGCTCCCAATTTCTTGCTAGCGGTACTCCAATGCAGAGCATATCACTTAATTTTTTGCTATAGTTTTTTACCTAACAAAACTCAGAGCAGAGCATAGCACATACTTTTGCATTGTTATGCTTTGGCTAGCGACAAAGTGACAGCGGTAGCGATGGCATAATTATATATAATATAATTCTTGAAATTATGCTACGCTAGTAAATGAAAACCCTGAACCCTTAGGTGTTAGAAGGTAAATAAATATTCTTTATTATGGTAGGGATAGATATTTGGGAACAAGATAGAAAATGCCGGGAATAATGGTAATAGTGGGATACGGCTACACAGTAATGTACCCCAGTCAAATAATTGTATGTATGTCAAACGCTTCAACTTTAATTATTTTAAAAAGAAACAATGAAATAATGTGGAATTTTTTTCTAGTCTTTTATAATTAAAAGAACTAAACATTACATAACAAAATTATATTCAAATATTTTTCTTAATTAAAAAAAATAATACTTTATGAAATTTCCATATCAAATATTTATATGTGCAAAAAACTATTTCAATCCAAGTACATATCTTCTTATTTATAAATGAAATAGTTTTGAATTTGTTAATAAGGGATTGTGTTACCCTTATGTATCTTCACCAATTGCACACGATGAGGCATTGACTCCACCAGTTTTTTTTAGCACAGACATATCAATTTTGTCCCGTTCGGTCAAAATGGCATGCTTTAGTTGCTTAAGGCTGTCATATTGCTCGGAAGATGCATACATTTTGCCTGAAGTATAGTGATGCCAAATTTAAAATATTTCATAACACTTGCCTTTAATGGAAAATCTGACAACACTAATAATATGTTAGTTAAATCAAAAATTATGTTACTTTAAGCCTAATTTAACATTAATAAACTCATTCTTAACTGCAGGTATAGCCTTTGTTAAACCATCTGCTAACATTTTGCTTGTTGAAATATATTCCAGCTACAATGACTTATCTCGTAACTTCTCTCGTATAAACTTCGCCTTGATGTCCACGTGTTTAGTTGTTAGGAACAATGTGGATAGCGTTCTTGTTATCGCAGTATATTTTTTATTCCTTCTGTACCACCATGAACTGGTTTCGACTCTAGCCGATGTAACCAAATCGCTTCTTGCATTGCGCTCACTACAGATGTTAACTCCGCCCCAGTTAATGACAATGCTAAGGTACGCTTTC